GCCTTGTGTCGTGTAGGTCGTGTATGTGTATTAACCCAAACAAAGTATGGTAATAACTTTCTATAAATAATCCAATATTTATTTTCCTTTGCCTGCAAATGTTCAAATCGTTCATAAAATTATTAAATCTCTAGCCCCACCAAACAGAAACGCGTTTCAATATATCTAACAGTAGAATCCCTGCCAGAATCCGGTCATGAAATTAGGTGAAATAAAAATACAGTGCGTACAATCAAGNCATAACTGACGCACTGTTTAACATTAGAATTACGTCACTAGTGTTCAGTGGCGGATTTTTACCAATGATTATAGATTTATTTGCTCGTGTTCGCGTTGTGCATTCCTCTAAAAGTAGCAAAAAAGTGAGGAGGTGATATATAGTGTTAAAGGAACTCGCCAAAATAAAATGTTACAAAAATTCATGCAATGAGAGCCGAGTTATTTCATACGGACAGATACACATATAGGCAGATATGACAAAAATGATAATTTCATGTCGTAATTTTGTGCGGACGGACATAATATCGGGCCACACGAATTCTCAAGTGTCCTTAAATGGTTAAAAACCGAGCAGGTTATTGTAGGGGTAAGAGCCTCGACTTGTGATTCGAATTTCGGGGAGGACGTCAGCTACCCTGACTAAGATTCTCTGTCAGTACCTCCGAAACAAATCCCACGAGAGTCCGTCGATTGGGAAATAAACACTTCCTTCCAAGGCCCTTCCAGTTCATTGTTCATTCACCATATTACAATCCGACGCTATATAGTACCGATAAGTAATCGTTAAATACCCAACGAAAAAAAAGTGAAGTATTAAGCAAGCGCAAGAAATTCGCTCTTGATTGTGGGGAAAATTAAGAAGGAAAATATTTTATTTAAGCATCCTGTTGCATTACGGTATTTAATTCGTATACAGAGTGATTCTAAATTATTGTCGGGGTTTCAGTGGCCTATAAACGGAAACCCAAACAACAATTTAGAATCACTCAAATGCAACATATTGTCATGTCCCGCTTCTCTGTCTCTACATGTTTCGACCGCACAAGGCCATCATCAGGTGCAGGTCTACCTTGCCAAAACTATTCCACTCTATGTTGAAATTACAGTAAACCCTCGCTAATCTTGTTACGGTTAATTTGCATGTCAGATAATCTGGATCGAAAAATGCTATTCACAGTTGAGTACATACTCTAAATGGCACATGGCATTTATGAGGGCAGATGAGTCAATACGTCTGTTGGCTGATAACGTTTAGAATGAAGGACTGCACTGTTAGAGAAATCCGAGAGCCAGTCAGTGGAAACACTACAATTTGTCAAGTACATTTTACATTAATTCAAGAAACATCAACCTCTTGAGTTTCTTTTATACACATGTGACTTTCCCCCCATATTTAACTTTTTCTTATCCTTTTTTAAGCCTCAATCTTGAGGTTAGCTCTTTCTAAGGGACCCAACAAAGTAGCTGTCTTCACCCCCCACCCGAGGACAGAAACAGATCCTGTTTCCAAAACGCTGTTTTCTAGTTTCTAGAAAATCAGATGATGGACGAAGTCCGAAAACCCAGTAATTCTGAGAAAAAGAGTATAACTGCTTTTGGCTAAACATTTCAAATCTTATGTTACAATATATGACATTATGTTCTTTGCTGAGAAAAACAAGGTCAATTCCATTCCTTTATCATAAAAATTGTATTAGAGACAACAGTTTTAATAAAGTGCTTAAAACTGTTTAAAATGGCAAACAGCACAGGACATTTAAATAAACTCTGTCCAGCCCACTCTACTACCATTTAAAAAGTATGATATTTACAGGTTTAATCATTTGTAAATTCTAACCTGAGAAAGAATTTATTGTAGCTGTTGTTTAGGATTGATTAACTTTAAGTTGCATGAAAACATGAAAGAAATTACACACCCCTCAGTCACATACTTACATAGCAAGCTTGTTCCAGTGTTGCTGTGTGTAGTACGAGTAAAATTGGCTAACAGTTTTTGCTCTTCAAACTCTATTCTTTGAAGAAAGAATTGTTTCCCATTGCCTTCATAAATTCAGAATTCCTTACAGGCTGTCTTGTAGACATGACTAGTTTCTCAACCTCTCTCACAGCAAACTCTTGAAACAATTATTTTCCAAATATTAAATATTACATATTTACAACCTTCATACTATAAGAAAATATAACTAATTTATATCAACTGTCTGGTATAAATAAATCTTATTTAAAAAATTATAGAGTAGCATTTTTATTTTCCTCTCTGTTGCCTTCTACCTGGTTCATTCCCTCATCATCCTAATTTCTTCTTATATCACCAAGAAATATGAATTTCTGTGGCACCATTTACTAATGATTGGTGGTAAAGTGAACCAACTGAATCAACCCAGGCCAAGTCAACACTGTCCTTGATGGCAGTTTTAATAAGCTGATCAACTAAATAGAAGCCAGCCAGCTTTGCCATTATAATCTCCAGTATTACAGCGAAAGAAGTAACGACAGTCTCCATAAACTTTCAAGAAGGACAAGCCAAAGACTGTTGTGTATTATTGTAGTCCTTGAAATATAAGAAGATACTGGTCAATAACATCATCTGAGTTGTCAGACATGCACTCTTGCATTCATTACCATCGACATAATTGAACACTGTCTCGCAATGCAACCGGTGATGTAAGCAAAAACAGTTCCATGAAGAAAGCCATCTTCTGGGATGTGGCGCCGTGTAGAAATTATGTTACCCAACGTTTCGGAGTAATGTATCGCCTCCATCTTCAGGGTAGAAGACAAGAAGAAATCCGCGAGTGAACCAGCAGAGCAGGCACAACAGACTGCGTCCAGTTGAGTAAACACAGCTTTTGCACCTGCTCTGCTGGTTCGCTCACAGATTTCTTCTTGTCTTCTGCCCTGAAGATGAAGATATGTTCCTCCGAAACGTCGGTTAACACAATTTCTACACAATGCCACATCCAAGAAGACGGCTTTCTTCATAGTCACCGCCATAAAAACCTCAAACCTTACAAAAACAGTTCCACTTTGAATAATATTGCATTAAAATCATTTGTCTCAGTGAATGAACATCAGTGTAGGAGAAGCATAAGAAAATATTATTGTTGGACCATCAATGTTGTGCATATTATAAAAGAATGAAATATCGTTTGTCACATTTTTCAGGTAAAATTTTTGAATGCGTCAAATATGACAATTTTGTAAAATCACTATTGAAGCACTTAGCAGTCACGCCATGATGACCATTTTCTCCTTTACTTGTTGATTTCGACCATTATTATACATGGTAGTGTAATCTGTATTTGAACAACACTGACATAACATTATATATTGTCACGTTGGGTGTATAACGCGGCAAATAACTTCACGCCGTATTGGATATAGCAAATTTATTGCACATTTGCTCTTACAATCACACAATTTACAGCTTCACAACTACTGCTATCTGCAGTATTACAATTACTTGACTGCAATTAACTGGATACTCTTTCTCTAGTAACTGGCTCAATACTCACTACTCACTAACTAATCACTCACTACTGAATAGTGTTCGCTGCTCCTTATTTAGACTTGGCACAGACAACACAGAAAACAGTTATGTGATGGGTACCGCTGTTGTCTGACGCCGTGTTCACAGGTTGCCTAGCAACACTGTTGAGAGTTGTTTACTTCTCTGTAGCAACCGCAGCATCCGTGGGTAACAACACAGTCACTTTTCTGCCACATCGAAAACGTGTACAACATGAAGAAAGCAGTCTTCTGGGATGTAGCACTGTGTAGATGTGGTGTAAACTGACGTTTTGGAGGAACGCATCACCTCCATCTTCATGGTAGAAGGAAAAATAAGAAAATCCGCAAGCGAAGAGACAGTGAGAACCGGTGCAAGCAGACTGGACTGATGGAAAGAAACTCAGCTATGTGAGAGCAGGGAAGGGAGAGGGGGACAAGTCTACATGGGAAATCAGTGGAGAGGGAGAATTTGTATAGGATATTGTGTCAGGGGAGAGAAAGGCAAGGTTAATGGGAGGGCATTAACCCTTAAGCTTGGGGGTTGCTATGTGAGTTGGTCATGGCCTGTGTAGCCTTGTGGATCTGGTATCATGTCCGGGGGGGGGGGGTGGGGGAAAGAGAGGGGGTTTCATTCCTCGTTGGACACAAANGGGAATGGAACGGATGAGAGGCTTCCATGACTTCCTGAGACAAAACCCCCCTCTCTAGTCATATTTTCTGGATGGAGTTCAATCTCAATGGCTTCCCTAATGATGCGATCGGGTCTTGGTGGCGAGAATGGAGGTATTCTGAAGCAGAGTCCCAGATCAATGCTGTGTTCAGCCGAAGATCCACAAGCCTGACGTTCCACTAAGGCCTATTGTGAGCACCATTGGTTCTCCTGCCTATCGCCTGGCCAAACACTTGGCTGGCCTACTGAGCACATACACTGGCAACTGTCCACACCACGTAAGTAACTCCATGGAATTTGTCCACACATTGGGCTCTCTCCATGTCAATCCCCATGACATACTGGTCAGTTTCAATGTATGTCACTCTTCACCAGGGTGCCTATAAAGGATACTATGGATCTGCTAGGATGATATTTCAGTGAAGACATCTTGAGACTCTTCCGCCATGTCCTGATGACCTCATACTTCAACTTCAATGGCCTGTTCTATGAAAAAAAAACCAATGGTGTGGCGATGGGCTTGCCACTTTCTCCGGTCATCTCTAACCTATATATGGAGGGCTTCGAGGAGAGGGCACTTGACTTTGCCCCACACAAGCCCCGCTGCTGGTTCTGCTACGTGGAAGACACCTTCATCATCTGGCCACACGGGCCCGACAAGCTTAAGAACTTCCTTAACCACCTAAACAGTATCCACCAGTGCATTTAGTTCACAATGGAGACTGAAACTGAGGGCCACCTCCCCTTCCTGGATATAGATAATTACAGGAGACCAGATGGTTCTCTGGCCCATAGTGTACTGCAAATCCATCCATACAAACCTCTACCTTAACGCTGCGCCCCACCACCACCCTTCCAACAAGCAAACTGCACTTTACACATTGGTGCACAGGGCTAGAGCACTGTGTGATCAAGCCAGCCTACATACGGAGTTGGTGCTCCTGGGGGATATATTCAGGAAGAATGGATAAAACAACCGACAGATCCATAGAGTTCTCAACTGTCGGCCCAACATCAGCCGGCCAGAAGATAAACCGGGCTCAATTGCCTTCCTTCCCTATGTTGGGATTATATTCAACTGTATCAGCAGAGTGCTGTCCCGGCACATCAAATCAGTGGGTCTGCCTCCAAATGCAGAGTTTGGTCTCCTTCATATCTCTGAAGAAAACCTTTATATTCAGTTTGTTCAAAAACATTAAATAGAACTCAGTGAAGAGAAGTTCAATTCTTTATATGTGCACAAACAAATAAAATGACAAAAATATTCTCTATTTACAATGTAAGCAGACTACTATTAACAATATGTACATGCTGTCTCCTAAAATCACTTCTTCCTTTCAAAGGCAATACCATCTCTGCCTCCTAGAAACACTGAGATGGTGAACTAAAAAAACTAAATCACAAAAAATCTTTGACTTTTTGACCATGCCTAGACATTACAATCAGCTCAGAAATTCAGCATCAGTCATTTGTTTCTTATGCGACACAGAATCCAAATTCAATTTCTGAGAGGATGAATATTATGGATTTTCTTGCTTATGTTCTTCATACATTCTTAATACTCATACAATAAATACAGTCTTGCAGTGTCTAACCCACTTCACACACTGTCAAAGAAGCAATGGACACCATCTTCCTTAACTCTGCAATGAAAGAAAGGAGTTTACATATCAGAAGCATGAACTTGACCCTGCGTATTCTTTAGTGTCTTCTCAGCAGCATAAGTTATAATCTGGCATAACAAGAGAGGGACCTCTCAAATACGCTAATATGGTGATAAAGTTAAAAAAGGAGATGGGGGGGGGGGGTTTGTACACCAGGTTAATGAAGATGGAGTGTGAGATGTTTACCTTCAAGATGATGATGACCTATGACACTCTAAGGTTATGTGGACATCACATGTGCTTCACATGTAGCACAGTGCTAAGGAAAGCGCCATGTGAAATGCTTTACTTGTAATGTGTTGACACCAAAGGCAGTATTCTGGTACATGCTGAGTTTGTTCAGTTTCAAAAACACTACCATGGCATTGTCAAAATTCTCGTGAAAGCACTACGTTACACACAAAATGACAAATGAGGTGTGCCTGGTGTGCATGAGCCCTAAAGATCCACTGTAACCAATAACTCCATTTTAGTAACATACTTTACCTAATTTATGTACACATATATTTTTATATGATTTTTGTATTTCAACATAACTTAAAATATGAATTTGAGGGAATTGCGTAAATTATCACGCACTATATTAGCCAATCAAAAACGCCAGTTACTGGATGATGTCATGCCTAGCGACAGTAGTGTGATAGCACAATTCTTTGTTCAAAGACAGACAACGCCTAGCTCCTAAACTGTCAAAGACGCGTGTAAGTGTCTCTCCTCGAAAGAGGAACAAAGGAACTGTATATAGCCATTATGCGTGTTACTAACGATGTAAATAATCAAATTTAAATAAAGTGTACGTGTTGTGGAGTTTGTCGTGGGTTTTGTTTGACCGCCTCATTGAAGCCAAGGCCCATTTAACTGTCCTGGGATAGTCACGTGTCCCCTACTGAGTGGCGCCCAGTACATCATATTACAGAACGACAGGATTGTTTGATTACAGAAAGCCAAGGCTATGTCATCGACTACCCCTCGGAATCGCTAAAAGGCGATTCACGAGCAGCTGCGTCTACCTTAACCACCACAGCGAGCAGCTGCGTCCACATTAGCCCCTCACCAGCGAGTAGCAGCGGCCGCTTTTACCCCAGCAGCCCACCCTCACAAAGCGACTGCTACACCATGAAATGGTACCAACCAACCCCCAAAGTCAGCTATCCTGGCTGATGGTCTTCATACCATATTCAGATTGGTGAAAGGATGTGGAAAGTGGTATTACAGACTGTTTATAGGAACTAACTTGGCAATCACCTGGAGAGATTGGGAGGGGAGGGGGGAAATTACTCCATCTTCCGACACAATGGTTTAAGGTACAGTAATATTCAAATAGTAGTTAACACTACTATTAACAATTTTTATAACTTCCGAGCTACAAACTGAATCCAGGTCAATGCTCAAATCCTGGAATATAACTGAGAATTTACGGCATTATAATATACAACTTGAATTTGAAAATATTTACTGTAAGGAACAGTGTCCACTCAGCCTTGTGAGGATAGTTGAGGAGCTATTTCAAGAAAATAACAGCTCCAGTATAGAAAACCGAAATTAATGGCTGTGGAGATTTGTTGCGCTGATCACATGACACCCTCTATCTGCTAAAGTTGGCACTAACTTCGCCGACAAGCGGCAGTCGCTCGGTCGGTATAGTTTGCTTACGGGCTAAAACCATGGAGTTTGTTTTACTAATTTACTCATAAATGGAAATTTTATACCACAAAAAGTAACAGAAGGGTTTAAAAATCTGATATGTACTATCAAATACTGATACCATCAGATGAGCAGTGACTAACAAAATTTTGTACTAATATTCCAGTCCAGATGATTATTCTAGCTTCAACATTTAGCCAAATATTGATGATAATCCAGATTTCTACCTCATCAAATCAAATCACAATCACATAATGCATCACTGTCTCCTTAATGCTTATGCTCTAAAACTACAGAAATAAATGAACATACCAGTAGCGACATGTGTGAACACATAACAAGGATTACTCCTCAGTGACCAGCTGTTTTATGGTGGTTATTATCAAACTGCCCTTCTCATGTGTAAGGAGGTTTAGGCTTGGATCTTCAATCTTCTCTTTCAACAGAGCCATAAACTCACTTCTGATCATCTGTAACAGCTCAGCTACCTACAGGAATATGAGTGATACGTCAATGTAAGATAACTTCAGTTAACATGATATTCTATTAGAAATAGTAAGAACAGAACGACCGACAGACTGATAGAAAGAGATAAAAAAAGAAATAGAGAGAGAACTGGAGACAAAAGAAAGCAATGCAAGAAGAAAAAATAAACAAGGAATGATACAAATCAAACTGACACAAAGATAAGCGTTTATATAAACGGACAAGCTAACTTTTTAAATTCTAGCTCCACCTACAGATATAGATGAGACACAACAACAGCAATGCATTTCAAATAAAAATAAAACTGTCATTATTATAAGTCAAAGAGAAATAAGTGAAGCAATAGTATACAGTAACAATATTAATCTTATATAGCAAAATACAAATAACAAACTCTAAAAGTTATGGAGTTCTAATGCGTACTTATGTAGCACACTTTCAATGTGACCTAAGCACTGCAAATGACACTGAACTGTATCCTACCTCTTGAGAATCAACTGCAAATTTGATCCATCCATCTTCAAGAGCAATGACAGATGTCTCTCCATACTGCTGTATTTTAAGGCCACATCCAGAGAAAAGTAACAGTGTCAATGCAGGAACCAGTGAGCAGCCATGTATGAAGACACGACTTGTTTTCACCTTCTCCAGATAAACTAGATATGGGCTTGTGTAGTGGGCCACACAGTGATTCACGGATGACGGATGCAAATATACCTGCAGACAATGACGTATAATAAAAGTCATACAGTTATTCTATTATTTTACCATGCTGTATCAGCTACAGAGCTATCAAGCACTGCAAGAAATAAAGTAGGTTCTTTGTGAATTAGAAAATATCATAACGTACTATTCTAGTATGTTTCCAAAAGCAATGTGTCCAAAAACTGCATTACGTGTACTCTTCTCTAAGTATAATTAGAATGATCAAGTCAAGGACGATGAGATGGGCAGGGCGTGTAGCACGAATGGGGGAGAGGAGGAATGCATGTAGGATATTGGTGAGAAGGCCGGAAGGAAGGAGACCACTGGGAAGACCAAGACTTATGTGGGTGGACAATATTAAAATATATCTTAGAGAGATATGATGGTATGGATTTGATTGACCTGGCTCAGGATAGGGACCAGAGGAGGGCTATTGTGAGCATGGTAATGAACATTCAGGTTCCATTAAATGCTGGGGAGTTCTTGAGTAGCTGCACAATTGGCAGCTTCTCAATAAGTGCTCAGCTCCATGAGTGAGTCATGAGTGAGTGGGTGTGTCCAAAAATTGTTTGCAACACAGTAAAATGTAGTAGAATTAAGACATATCTGCCTCTTTTAACAGAATCCATATTTACTTCCATAATTCATGCACTGTGTGACCAAAAATTCATGTTTGAAAATTGTGATATACAGGGAGATCGAAAAGTTGTGCACATCAAACTAGAAGTTGTTATAAATTGTACTGCAGTTAATATAATTATATCTCCTACTGCTAGATGGTACTGTAGGAGTGCTAACGAGTAGAAACGCCATCTGTCGTGTATCATTCATATGACATCTGCAGTATAGCTTTGTTTATTGTGTGACAGACATGTCGTTTTCCCAAGAACGAGTTTTCATTGTGGCAACCATGGAATTGAAGACTTTGATCGGGTTTTCTTCACTGACGAAGTGTGATTGTACCTTAGTGGCTACATGAACAGTCAAAACAATAGGATTCGGTCATCTGATAATCCACATGTGTTAGATGAAAATTGGAGTGTGGTGTGCTGTATCACATCATCAAATAGTGTGCCCAATTTTCTTTGAAACAACAGTGAACAGTCCAGGGTACCAAGACATCATTACACAGTTTATTGCGCTTCTTGAAGTTGAAGAAGGTGAGTGTTGGTTGCAGCAAAACGGTGCCACATGTCACACATCTAATGACACCATGCAGTTCTTGCGTGAGTTTTAGGTGACTGTCTCTTTTTGAAATGATTGTGGCCCACGTGTTTGCCCAATTTGTCACCTGCAGATATTTTCCTTTTGGGGTACCTCAAAGGAATTGTCTATAAAAACAATCCCCATACACTGGATGACCTGAAGAGGAACATTACGATGGTGATTAACAGCATCAGTTTACAGGCTCCGCAAAGTGGCCTCAAACATGGTAAAAAGTGCTCGCGCGCACTCTCCTGAACAGGGAAGTCATTTTGAGCATATGTTGTAGAGACACGATTTGATTTTGCATTTCTATGATGCAAGGTTATAAATATTAATATGTAGAAAGTGCTGTATATCTTGTAGTTTGTGCATTAAACCAGCAAAACATAACTGCTTAGTGTGATGTGCGCGACTTTTTGATCTCCCTGTATAACATATGCAAATACTGCTTTTCAGAGTGGGTTTGATTCCCAGTGAGGTCACTGGATTTCTCAATTTACCTAATCCTTCCAACCGCACTATGACCCTGGGATCAACTCCGCCTCTAACAGAAATGAGAACCAGGAATCCTCCTGGGGGTAAAAGGGTAAAGTCAAGAATACCAGAGTATGTATTTGCAGCAAACTCTATCACCCTGGCATGCTCAACTGAAGACCCTGTATCCTAAGTTTGGTTGGCTGGGGCCATGTGAGCAGGAGCAACAGACAAAGACAGTGAGTGCTGACCACAGTTAGAGAAGGACAGAAGATCTGAGCAGGGGCACCTTACAAGCAATGAAGAGTGGCAAATTTTGTTCCATATATGCCTCCAAAATTTTGTTTTAATATGTAACGTCTGAGCTGGATGTTGATGGTGTTGTAGTAAAAGTTGAACCTTCCCGCCAATGTACTGTTAGTTTGGTTGTCGTGCGACAGATAGTGACAGCAGAGCAGTCTACCAAAATGGTGTCTGACATAGAAGTGCATACGATACAGATATGTGTTATTGAATTTCTCGCTGCCAAACAAATTGCACCCATTGGACATCCATCAACACTTGCTAAAGGTGTAGAGAGACGATACAGCAGATGTCACCACAGTGAGGCGGTCGGTAGTGCGTTTCAACAGTGGTGAAAGTGAAGTGCATGACAAGCCATGTCCTGGGCGTCCCTGCTCAGCTGCCACTCCTCACAATGAACAGCGCCTCAATGGTACAGATCGGCAGATAACGACCAGGGAACTGTGTGCACGGCTTAATATCGGCTGTAATACATTGGAAACGATGTTGGAGAAGCTGGCTTATTACAAAGTTTGTTCCAGGTGGGTCCCACAGATGCTTACACAGGGCCACAAAATTCATCAAATTGAAGTTTGTCAGGACCTGTTGCACTAGTTTGAGGCTGAAGGTGACAAGTTTCTGGACAGCATCTTCACTGGAGATGAGATGTGGTGTCACCACTGCGAGCTGGAATCCAAAAGACAGTCCATGGAGTGGCAACATCAGGATTCCTCAAGAAAAAGTAGTTTAAGACACAGCCATCAGCAGGGAAAGTGATGTGCATGGTCTTTTGGGATAGGCAGGGTGTGATTGTGTTGGATTTCCTGGAGCTTGGAGACACTGTGAATTTTGAACACTACAAGACGACGCCGACTAAGCTGAAAGCCTGCATTTCCCGAGTCAGGCCAGAGAAGCAGACAACCTTTCACTTGCAACATGATAACGCTAGACCCCATACCAGTTTGGCGACCACTGCGCACATTGCAAAGTTTGGCTGGACTGTCCTACCACATCCACCTTATAGCCCCGATTTAGCACCTTCAGACTTCCATCTCTTTGGGCCTATGAAAGATGGACTACGTGGGCAACATTTTACAGACAATGATGCTGTCATTGCAGCTGGAAGAAAGTGGCTAGCCTCTACTGGTGCAAACTTTTACAGGCGCAGCATACAGGCTCTTGTAAGATTTGAGGCTTTCACGGCGGTGAAGACTGCTTTCTTCATACAGGCTCTTGTTCATCACTGGCAAAAGGGCAAAACGAATGGTGGTGATTATGTGGAAAATTAACTGTAAGTAGCTGAAATCTTGCCCTATTTAGCTGCGTTATTATGCTTTCTTTATCTACTGTAGTTTTCATAAAAAAAATATGAGGCATTATATATGGAACACTCCTCGTACATACTTTCTCAGTCGATGCATTGGTGCTGTGAAATGTAATGTGGCTGCAAATTGTGTTCCTTCATGTAATTAATTACTTTTGTGGGTGGATAATATTAAAATAGATTTTAGAGAGACTGAAAGGGGTAATATGGACTGGACTGATCTGGCTCAGGATAGGGACCAGCAGAGGGCTCTTGTGAACACAGTAATGAACCTTCAGATTCCATAAAATGTTGGAAAATTCCAGAGTAGCTGCACAACTCGTTGATTGTCAAGAAAAGCTCACCTCCATGGAGTTAGTTAATTAATTAATTTAAAAGAAACGATCACTTCAACAATCCGTTACATCAATATAATTTGGCACAAAGAAACCGCACATACTTTCTCATACAACTGACTTTGACTGTGTTACCTTGGAAATAACAGTGACTGTCGCTCAGTGGAGCACAGCTGGGTGCTCAACAGTGAAATCTCATCAGACCAATAAAGCTGTTTTAGACACAACTGCTAATTATTTCATCACACATGTTGGAGCTGTTTTTGAAAAAACTGACAGGTTGTGTTTTGGGGTCAATTTGTCAAGCTGGACACAGAACTACGATGAATAACCGCTTGAATAAAATCTAACCATTCAGGCGCTAGTAAGATGCACATCCATAGATACACCCATATATAAAATGGCATATTAAAACCTCTTTTCCATATTCACATGTAAAAGTAAAAAAAAAAAAAAAAAACTACTACTCCCATGTAAGGTGTAAATCATAGTGAGTCAAGGAGTCAGTGGTTTGAGCTGCAGTTGCCAACCAAGTACAAGATTCTGAACGTGACTTAAGAACCCACTGTTTACTTAGACTGTAATTAGCACGCCCTTATTAATTTTTTTTTTTTAATTCGCTTAGTGGGGGGTGGAGTCCAACTGGGTTCACTCAGCACGGCAACCACTGATTGGCCTACTGTAGCCTGCCCCAGGTGATTATGATGATGGAGAATTTGGTGGAATGAAGATGGGCAGGGGAAATCAAAGTACTCAGAGAAAACCCGCCCCAGCACTGCTTTGTCCAGCACAAATCCCACTTGACCAGACCTGGGATCAAACCCAGGCCACCACGGTGGGGAGCCAACGACTAACCGCTTGAGCTATGGTGTGGTCAGCACTCCCTTATACTGACTACATCTAAAGTGCATGTACCAGCAGAAAAATGAATATGGATGCCACTGATGGAAAGTTATTTCATATTAAAAGAATTGTTGTGATTAAAAGCAGGGGTAACAACAAGGCATTTAATTTATTTCTCAGAAAATTTCTTGCACATAAATAAGGACCATAAATTATGCAAGTAAATGTGCTAAAACAAACTACAATCTCATTTAAGTCAGTCTCTGGGAAAAACTGGATTGATAGTACAGCGTGTTAGTATTTCAAATGGAACGGGAAGATGGTTAAGTAACATGGGCCTTGTCAGGGTGGCTGTGTCTTTGGTGGGGACGTATCACAGACCAGGGATGCGTTGAGACACAGCTTTGGAACACCTCCTCGTGGTCCTGCTGGGCAACGACAGTCCTGGAGGGTCTGCATTAGCATGAACCTCCAGGGTTGCGGCAGAGTTTCCATAATGGGCAATGCTCATTTGACCAGAGCCTCCCACACGGCGGCATAATGACTCTTGGGTTTCATTATGATGTACCCGGGACGAATGCGGGAGAGCACTCCTATGGGGGTAGCTACGGCTATTTGAGTTGTCTCCCTAGAGTACCGATAAAGTGCCGCAAGCCTTAGGGCTCAACACTCTAAAATGGTTTTGACCAACCCATGTGGAGGGGTGGGAATGGGGGAACTCTGAAGCAACCTCCAGGGGCGATAATCTCGTGTAGGATGCCCTGGTCGCAAACTCATGACAATTAGTATCGCACTCACCTGAACATGCACTCTTGGTCCTGGAGGCTTGTGAGGGTTATACTTGTAAAGGACCAACCTCCTAAGCCAAGGTGTGAGGCATCATGCCAAGGGCTGCATGGCACTGGGGAGGTTATTGGCCAGTGTCATGAACGATCCCTCGGGGCACCAGGCAGCACCCCGTTGTATTTATGCCTTCCACCCATATGGGGCTCTGCGGATGGTGACCTTTTAAATCCCCATTTCTCGTGGGACCAAAATAAAAAAGGGACCTAACAAGAAAACCGGTCGTAAGGACCTTAAACTTAAGAGGGACCCCCCTTTAAGGGGATCCCTACAAGAAATGCTTCAGCAGGAGGCTGGAAGCTCTGGTGAACCATTAAGGGGCTCAGAAGCAACCGGCGAACCTACTGTTGCAGTCTTAGCCAAAGGCAGGGATGAACCAATGATTCAAAACCTACCAGAGGCAAAATCAAAAAATTGGAAGAGATCACGAGATTTCTCCAAATCAACCTACACCACAGCAAAGCTGCCACGGCAGCTCTCTGTCAACATCTAGCTGAGGGTAAGGCTGACATAGCACTTATTCAGGAACCTTGGTTATACAAGGGTCGAATAAGGGGTTTAAATAATACAGAGGGAACAGTTTACTCTGTTGTACCCAGTAATAATGCGAGATCTTGTGTTTATATCAGGAATCATGTTAATGCCTTGCCTTTGCTGGAGCTCTGTTCAAGGGATACAGCGGCGGTAAGGATAACATATCCATATCGAGAAGGCAGCAGGGAGCTGATAGTTGCTTCAGTCTACCTTCCATATGACTCGGATGGACCACCACCAACTAAGGAAATGAGGGACATCACAGACTACTGCTTTAGCAGGAAAAAGCAACTCATCATTGGGTGTGATGCCAACGCGCACCACATCTTGTGGGGGAGCACCAGCACTAACCCAAGGGGAGAGGGCCTTATGGAATTTCTGGTGAGTTTGAACCTGAATATTCTAAACCATGGTAACGAACCTACCTTTGTGGTTTGCAATAGGAAGGTTATTGATTTGACACTAAGGACAAATAATATAGAGAACCTGGTAAGTAACAGGCATATATCTGATGAGCCGTCTCTATCAGGTCACAGATATATATGCTTTAAAATAAGTAACATCACAGTAGATCAAACTACTTACAGGACTCCTAAGAGAACCAATTGTGAGTCTTATAAAGACGAGCTAAAGGTAAATCTAGAGGCCATTTCGCGTAATATACGCACAATAAAGGATGTTGATCAGTCTGTTGACCAGTTGCAACGGGCTATTATCTCGTCCTTTAATCAGAATTGTCCGGCTAGGACCAATCATGGACCAAGGAGAGTGCCTTGGTGGCATAAACAGCTGAGTGGGCTTAGAACCAAAACAAGAAGGCTGTTTAATACAGCTAAAAGAACAGGGCAATGGGACACCTATAAGGAAGCCCTTACCTGTTACAATAAAGAAATAAGGGAAGCCAAGTGATCCTCATGGAGAAGACACTGCCAGGAGATCAATGATGTACCAGGCGGTGCCAGACTCATGAGGATCATGGCAAAACAGGCAACCAACAAGGTCAGCACAATTAAGCTGCCTAACGGACAGTATACTCAAACAGGAAGGGAAACGCTGAATGAATTATTCAGGGTCCACTTTCCTGATTCAAAATTGATTGACAGTTTGGACGATGGGCAGGGTCAGCAGAACCTGGACACTTGTCAAAGCAAGATGAACAGGGCAGACTGGAACCTGGTCAAAGTCATAATTAACCAATCAAAGATAGGATGGGCACTGAACACTTTTAAACAATTTAAATCAGCAGGAACAGATGGAATTGTACCGGCACTTTGGCAGCATGGGGCAGAACTTTTAGTTCCACACCTATGCCGCATATATAGAGCCTGCTTGGCATATGGTTTCATCCCCACAGCCTGGAGGCAAGTAAAGGTGACGTTTATTCCAAAGCCCGGGAAACTTAATTATACCGAGGCTAAGGCTTATCGTCCTATCAGCCTGTCGTCTTTCCTTTTGAAAACGATGGAGAAACTAGTAGATAGGCATGTTAGGGACAGGGCATTGAGGATTTATCCTCTACACCGAAACCAACATGCCTACCAAACAGGTAAATCTTCCGAAAGTGCACTACACAATGTGGTAACACGCATAGAAAGTGCAATTGAACACAAGGATATTGCCTTAGGAGCATTCCTTGATATAGAGGGAACCTTTGATGGGACCTCATTTGATGTAACCAAACAGGCTGCTGGAAGGCATGGCATAGAGCCTGCAATATGCAGATGGATCAATGCTATGCTGGAAACCTGAACCATAGCTGCTACATTATCAGGAGAGACCCTGGGGACGTCGGTGGCTAGGGGATGTCCGCAGGGGGGCATACTCTTGCCTCTGCTGTGGAGTCTGGTCGTCGACGATCTCCTGTGGGGACTTGATGATGGGTATTATACAGTAGGATATGCTGATGACATAGCAATCCTCATAAATGGAAAATTCCTTTCAACCGTATCAGAGCATCTTCAATCAGCTCTGTACATGGTCCAACGATGGTGTGAAAGAACAGGTCTCTCCATTAATCCCAACAAGACTGTAATCATACCGTTTACTAAGAAGAGAAATATAAAGGGTCTTAAGGAACCGACTCTCTTCAATAAGACAATCAAGCTCTCCAGCGATGTCAAGTACCTTGGACTAGTATTAGACAAGGGACTGACATGGAAAAAGCAGCTGGACAAAGTTGTTAACAAAGCCTATAAGGCTTTTTGGACATGCAGAAGCATGTTTGGTAAAACTTGGGGACTACAGCCACACGTTGTACATTGGGTATACACTGCGGTTGTGAGACCCATAATTACTAATGGTGTCACAGTATGGTGGCCCAGAGTTAAATTCAAGACTAGCAAGACAGAACTTGGCAAATTGCAAAGGTTGGCTTGCTTAGGTATACTGCCATGGCATGAGGCGGAAACTTAGTTTCCGCCTTGGGCGGTACACGACAGTATTCCAGGCAGAAGTATATGCCATTAAAGCATGTATTATGGAGAATTTAGATAGGAACTATAGAAATAGGAACATCTACATTCTATCTGACAGCCAAGCTGCACTTAAAGCGCTTGACAAACACCAGATTGATTCAAAATTGGTCTGGGATTGCCACCAAACCCTCATGGAACTGGCCAAACATAACAGGGTACAACTGATATGGGTGTCGGGGCATGAGGGAAATGCTGGAAATGAAGCAGCAGACATTTAGCTAAAATTGGAGCTGAACACCCGTTCATAGGACCTGAACCAGCCTGTGGCATCTCTCTAGGAGTTGCCAAACAGGCAATCAGGGACTGGACTAACATGACACACAAGGAATACTGGGAATCCTTAACTGGACTCAGGCATGCAAAGGGACTCATACGAGGACCTTCTGCTAAAAGAGCGAAGGAACTGTTGAAGCTCAACAGGAACCAGCTACGATGGGTGGTAGGACTATTTACAGGACACTGTCACCTCAAAGGATACCTGTTCAAACTGGGACTGAGTGATAGTCCCACCTGTGAGAGGTGTCAGATAGAAGATGAAACAGCCACACACGTCCTGTGTGAATGTAAGGCATTAGCTTATTTAAGATATGTCACTTGGGCCAGTACTTCATGGAACCAAGTGACTATTTTGACGCCCCTACGTCCAAGATCCTCCGCTTCATCCAAAGCGTCGGTTGCTGAGGGAATAATTAAAAAAAGGGGGAGCACAATAGACCTACGATCGCGGTGTAAGGGCCGAGAAGGCCTACCCCTCATATATTCTATTCTATTCTATTCTATTCTATTCTATTCTATTCTATTCTAACATGGGCCTTAAAATGAATGTGAAAGAAACTTACACATTTCTAAATGGTGCGAAGTACACATTGAGCCTAAAGTGACACTAATGGGCTAGAAATGTCATCTTAGAGAGTTGCAGATTCTGAATTCAGCAAGAAACAATAACATCCTAAACCAATAAGCAAACTAAAAATGTAAAGAATGGTCAGATTGTGTTAGACATCAGAGGACAAATACTTTCACTTAGAAAGAGCATGTTGAGAAGTGCCTGTTGTGTGTGTGAATCATGCATCACACATGGTGCATTACTCACGTGGTCACCATCCCTGGTCATGAACTGTAAATCAACAGGTCGAAACTCTTCAGGAAGAACGCCTATCCCAGTATGCTTAAATGAATTCTCAGGAGTCAGAACTTTCACAACATTTGGGTAGAGAGCAGCAGATAAGATTGCAGTCAAAAGTTTGGTGTTGTTACCATTTGCATTAAGCTGTGAATTAGAACCAAAATAAATTGCAGATTTTCTGGTTATAACTTCAAATAAAAATCATATTTAAATATAAATAAGTTTCCTGTGATTTTGTGTCTTTTATATTCACCTATTGCACTTATTATATACACAAATTACTTTTGTTATTAAGTATATAATTACATAATTGTTTGAAATAAACGTTATAGAGCTCAAAGAAGTGTGAGATTACATGCAGCTGTTTGCACAATGAACCATATTTTGAGAGAACTGACATTCTGATGTGAACTTCATGTAAAATCAATTATACTGGGCTGACATAAAATATGAGGAAATTTGCTCTACAGCATTTAGTGCAGATACCGATACCAAATTTCACCATGGCACTTTGAGCAGTTTCAGAAGGAAAGATATGACTAGATAACCAGATCATTTGTTCATTTTGTGCACTTCACAAGAACAAGAAAAGTATGAAAACTGAACATGGTTGAAGCTGCAACAGTTCTTCTAAAATACAGTCAATTTTTACTAACCTCAGGGCCGGTGATGCCTAGAATATTGTCATTTCCACTTTCTCTAGGGCCTAGCTCAACAGAAATAAATCCAATACTTGCTAGAAGCTCTACAAATTCTTGCTTTATATCAGCAAGTGTGACTAGCGTCTCCCATGAGAGGAAATTCTCTTTGGCAAATACCTGCCCAGCTTCATGACTCTGTGAGCAGATCTTCAGCCACCTCTGAGGGGGAGAGAAAAAAACTTAAATTATTCTGTACAAAATCATAAAAATAAAACACAAATAAGTGACAGCAACATTATATTGAAGGTATGGACTGAGTGTGTTTGAGAACAGAATGTGGTGCCGAATAGTTTGACTGAAGAGGGGTGAAATAAGAGAAGGGACACAAAACTGTATAATGAGGAGCTTCAAAATTTGTACTCTTCAGATACAGTTACAATGATCACGTGAAGGAGGATGAGATGGGTATGGTGTGTAGCATACACAGGAGTGAAAAGGAATGCATACAGGGTTTTGGTCGGAAAGCCAAAAGGAGAACATTCACATAGGTGGGAGGACAATATTAAAATGTATCTCGGAGATATAGGATGGGGTGGTATGGATACGATTTGCCTGGTTCAGGATAGGGAACAGTGGTGGGCTTTTATGAACATGGTAATGAACCACTGGACTGCATGAAATATTCAGACATTCCTGAGAAGCTGAATAACCGGCGGCTTCTCACAAAGGACTCAGCTCCATGGAGTTAGTTGGTTAGCTGGGAATTACTGGATTTGAATATTAAACTGAGGAAAATTGCAAACGGAGGAAACTTAACACCATGATTATTGATTCTGGATCACTGAAACTAATGTTAAAAGAGAGGAAACCTTAAATGGAGGAACATCAAATGGGGTTCCAATACATTTCACTCAGAAAACCAACTGTACCACACACAGCTACTAAAGAGTATTTACCTTGTAAGCTTTGAGAACAGTCAAGTAATCACTGTTACCAACTGTAAACTCCCGCTTACATATATTTGCTTGCTCCTTTTTCGTAAATGGCGTTACAAAGGGTGATTTGTAACTGAGGCACGCAGCAATAGTTAGTGCAGAATCAACACAGCAAAAGATGGCTCCATACAGCATCAACTTGCCTATTCTGCAACACAGACAATACAGCAGGTGCTCATGACATCAGGACTGTCTCCTCATACGAATGAAATGAATGCCACTTTGCAGAAGGGCTGGTACCATTCCATGCATGAATATGATACTATAGAGTGTGTGGAAACCTGTAAGAGATGGGCTTAGTGCACAAATTTAAAAAGACCCTTCCTTTTTCAAATGCAAATCTTCAGCTCAACTCTTATATAAATATATGTCTACATGCAGCATGTAGATATGATACAAGTTTCAGCCATTCTCAGTTCAGTGAATCTTTAATTTAATTGATAACGCCTGAGGATCATTCACATTTGTTTTACCGCAGCACCCACTACATCCAGCACGAACATTTGTTTTCCATATACAAGATCAAATTTAGAAATGAGTAATATATCAATTTACATCACTATTTGTTACTCAGTGTCTAAAACAGCATTGACTGAAACTTTTACTTAACTTTCACTGTCCAGTAACCACACCAGGTAGCAACTGGATATGCACTGGCTACAGATCACCAATAATAATAAAAACTCCAGTCATAATGCATTTTCAAACTGGGGAATTATAAAGCACGGTGTTCCACAAGGATCAATTTTAAGTTCCTTACTTTTTCTTCTCTACATAAATGATCTATCTACAACCATCAACAATAAATCTAAACCAATTCTATATGCAGATGACACTAGTATAATATTTAAGAACTCTAAATTTTACAACCTTAAAAATGACATAAATATTGTATTTGAAGCCTTAAACAGATGGTTCGAAGCCAATTTACTCTCATTAAATTTTGATAAAACCCATTACATATCATTCACAACTAAAAACAACCACCAAATTGATTTGGACATCAATTATGCCAACAAATTAATCTGTAAAGTACTTGATACAAAATTCCTTGGAATACATGTAGACAGTACACTGTCTTGGAAAATACATATTGAACAAATTATACCTAAATTAAATGCAGCTTGCTATGCGATGAGATCAATTAAGCCTTTTATGTCACAGGAAACATTGAAGATGGTTTACCATGCCTACTTTCATTCTATTATGAACTATGGATTAATATTTTGGGGGAACTCTTCACATAGTGTAATAATTTTTAAAATACAAAAGAATATAATTAGAATCATTACAGGATGTAGAAGTAGAGATTCATGTAGAGAATTATTTAAGAAATTAAAAATTCTACCTCTTCAATCGCAATACATATTATCGCTTCTCCTATTTGTTGTTTACAACAAAGATAAATTCAAATTAAATTCTGATGTCTATAACATGAATACTAGACAAAAATATAACTTCCACCTACCCTCATCAACTTTATCAGTATATCAAAAAGGAGTCTACTTTACTGGCATAAAAGTGTTCAACAATCTGCCACAAAGTATTAAAAACTTGGGCAATGATACTAAAAAGTTTAAATCAGAGTTAAAGAATTATCTACATGCTCATTCCTTCTACTCTTTAGATGAATACTTCAATGTAAATAGAGAATGATGTAAAATTAAGTTATATTAATTTTTAAGCTAAAATTGCCTGTACTTATGTATGTAACCTTTTGACATGTTCTGTATCCAAAGGTACTAACCTGCTTAGGATTTATAGAATGTAAATAAATTCAATTCAATTCAATGGAGTGACTTAAATCACTGCAACAGGTCACAGTAATTGCTGAAGTTTCTGTTTACATTTCACTGCCTGTTCCTCGGTAGTTGCAGCTAATGGTACACTGCTAGGCACTGGAGAGGATATGAACTGCCAGAACTGGTAACTGCCACAAAGTGGTGATTGACATGGCTGTTACATTTCTGTGCCTAGGCCCAGAAGCTGCAGTATGTAGCCAGTAGCCAGACATGACTCATTACAATCCCTCTTTCCAAATGCAGGGTTAATACTTACCAAGAATTACAGCATAAGAGGCAAACATTGCTCTATTATTAATTCAAATTTATATGTATAAAACTGTGAATAGCCTCAATGTGTGAGTATATTTTACTGTAAACAAATTAGTGCTATTCACATTGATATTTTAAATACTTTGTATTCTTTTTACTATTGCAGGCTGGATATGTGTGAAATTCTTACGTGAGTTTAAAAAATTGGAATCTACACTATTAGTGTCTTCTCCACTACTTAAATGGAAATACCACATTTTATATACAGTCAACTCTCGATTATCTGGGATAATGATGGGGATGGAAATCACAATTAATCGAAAACCCGGTTAAGACAAATGTTATTAAAAGTAGTACTGTAATACTGTACCTTCATAATACTATAGGCCTACCTGTATTTAAATTTACTCAACCTCATTTTTATGTCATCTCATGGCCTATTTAATACTTTTTTTACATTATACTGAAGTGTGAATTAGTTATTTCAATCACAGTGTTCAACAACATCCAACACTTTTTACGAATATTCACACTTAACACTTAAAAAAAATTAATATTGTCGTTTGCTTTTTCGCGCCATTTTCCTTTTTACGGATATCCATACGAAGCCTACGTAATATTAGCTTGTCACTTAATAAACTGTTCTCTTCACTCTCAAGATAGTCTAGTAAGGATTCCAAATGATTAAGAGCAGCACCATGTGATATTTTCTTACTACCGTATTGCATTGCTAATTGTTTAACTACACCTCTTTTTCCCAACTGATTGATAATTTCAAGTTTCTGTTGAATACTTAACACAACACACTTCCTTTTACACCCTGACATTTTGCTAATGCACTTGAAGATCGATACAAAGAGACCAACTGGGGCGGTGTCTCTGTCCTTGAAACTTCCACAAATCCTTGCATTCTTTCAACCCTACCCTAGAACATTGTGTTAGCATAACAGGACCAAAGAATGCAGAGCTCAGTTCACTCTAGTGCGAAAATAGTATTACAACTCACCATGTGAAACAAAAGTGAATGAATATTAAACATCATATAAGCCTCAAAAAAGCCTCAGTAGCCCCGGTTAAGCCGCAAACCAGTTAATCCGCCCCCAGATAATCGAGAGTTGACTGTAATTAAAAAAACAAGACCTTACAGGCCGATATAGCACTGTTACATAGTAAATTATAGAAACTGTGATACTAATAGACAGCTAAATGAATTAGTAAATAAACATGATGACGGATTCAGTGTTTTTGCTGTGAAGAACTGAAGTATCCTCCCTTTTCCACCTAAGTTCTACTACTTTTATTCATTCAACCTTTCCAGTTTGCTGGCTCAGAGCTGTAAGCCAGTATCCTAACAGTGGCAGTGTTCATGACCATTGCTTAATATCACTGTTAGCCACACATAACATTGACTAGAAGCACAGTGATTAAGTCACCAGAATGCTTCTCTCTCCAGATGAAAGATTATGTGAAATTAAGGCTGTTAACCTAATATGTAAAATTTACTGAGTTTGATTTTTCACCTGGAAGAAACATTTTCATTACAAACCACATCACCTGACATCAACTGGCAGTGTTGCCAAATGTCGCCCCAGTGGTGTCAACTCATTGTCTGCATCCAGAGCACCAACATCTTTCAGGCAAAGCAGTGCACAATCCACATTCTTATCTGCAGGTGGTTCCAATGTGCCAGCTGTAGCCAATCAAAATATAATGGTTTAATTTTATTCTCAGTCTGTCAGCAGTGCAGACTGTGTCAAAGACAGGATGATTATGAATGATGGGAAAGNATTTTTCCATATATATTGTGTGAGTGTAACAGGATGCTGAAATATAATATTATAATGGTTTAATTTTGTTCTCAGTCTGTCAGCAGTGCAGACTGTGTCAAAGACAGGACGATTATGAATGATGAGAAAGGAAAGAGTTGAAGAATATTTTAAAATACTATTCCAGAACTCGGCTGAAGAGACTAGGAAAAAAACACAATGGGATTTGACTGGGAACTCCCTGAAGATAGGTATGTTGTATTTGAGGTTATCACTGCAGTGGTAACTTGCCTGCAGCCAAGCTTGTGTCAACCATCAAACGAAAGTTTACACCTCTTATATTAATCAAAGTTTTATTCCATATGTATGTTGTATTTGAGGTTATCACTGCAGAGGTAACTTGCCTGCAGCCAAGCTTGTGTCAACCATCAAACGAAAGTTTACACCTCTTATATTAATCAAAGTTTTATTCCATACAGCACTAGACAGAGGTGAGTGGTCAGCTTCACGCCCCTGATGCTTTAGCCCACATTGGATAGGAGGCTGGATGAGCCCCAGTTTTTCTGTACACTGTGGAGAAGAGAAAAATCTTGTATTGCCAGGAATCAAACCTGGAGTGTCCAACCCATAGCTTGTCACTATACTGACTCCCTTTTTATTGTTTGTGAAAAAAGTATTTTCTTACAGCTCTCCAGCACTTTAAAAATTGTAGCAGGGAATTTAAACATTTTTTTCATTGGCCATATATTTACTCAGTTACCATGGTGGGAAATGGACTGGACAGTGTACATTTAGGGAACTAGCAGTGGAAGTACAAATATTTACAGGTTCAAGTTCTTTCCTCCCCCCCCCCTCTTTTCATGAATTCCTGTACTTTTCTTCCCTTCACCAGGCAGGTTGGTAGAGGAATAACGTTCCTGGCTTGTATTTGGGGTGCATACCATTTGCAGCGCTGTTGGCCACTTGAAGCTTATTATGTTTTTCTTCAGTTTTTCCCTACAAATGTTGCGATAAAGTAAGGGTACAATTTCCCTTGTCCTTAATTAAGCAACAGACTATTAAGATATAGGGTTGTGGAGGTACAGCTCCACACATTCTCAATTCTTGGCACTAGATGGAGGGTAGTAGTCAACTTCATGACCTGGCCACCTTACCATAAAAAAAAAAGCCTCTGGTGCCCGCTGGATAGGAAGTTGGCTGGGCCCCAGAACCAGTTTTCCCCAAATATATACGAGTAAAAGCTAAGCTACGTTCCTTTTTTAAAAAAATTCAGAGAAACTAATGAACTAACGTGCTTACCAAAAACTTCATGGGGATCCTTGTCTGCAAAATAAGGCAAGGTCTTAATACGAAGTACTATCTGTTCCAGAGGCACACGCTGTAGTTCTGGGACAGGCTGCCCAAGGAATTCATAGTCATAACGATGTCTGGTGAACAGATGAATGCAGACACCTGGCATCACACGCCCAGCACGCCCTTTCCTTTGCAGTGCATTTGCTCGAGACACCCACACCATCTGCAGACTTTCCACATTCCTGCTGGAGTCAAATCTTGCAAACAGAGAATAGCCACTTTCAGGGGAAAAATGCGATGAAGATTAACACTGAGGATAAATGTTCTCACTCTTGTTTCCGAGAAGAGAAAAATTATAAATTTTTATTCCTGTCTTCACTATTTGAGAAGGGTATCAAAACAACAAATACACAGAAAAAATTCTAACATCATCAGTTTCTCTGTCACATGACAGTTCTCAGATATTGCTTTGCTGCCTTGTACACTGTTGCACTGTATTTCTAGACATAACTTTCCATCTCGTGTGCTAAACAGGCTAAATAATTTTACTGTAAGAAATTTCATTTTATGGCATATTACAAAGTTATGAATCTAATTCTGTTCCCTCACTTCCAGCAACTTCTCCGTACAAACACAGATGCTGAATTTTCAACGGACAACTCATACACACTGTGACTGTGCAATGTGAAAAGCAAAAAAATCAGCTCACAGATGGAGCCAAACATTTATGATGATGATTATCATTATAGTAAATTTAATGATATATTCATCAACTAATAAAAGTGGAGGGGGTACTGTCACACAAAGAAACGTTTCTATTAATCAAGTCACAATATATTTTGGCCCAGACAGGCCTTCATCAGGTGGTTTCGGAGAATTACGTGCAAATGTTGATGGAATATATACATGACTGCAATGCTAGTACAAAATTTATTTGTATTGTCACCACTTGTCTGTTCCTCAAGAATCGCCTAATGATGGCCTATCTGGGCAGAAACATTTTGTGAATTGATTAACAAGAACATCTGTTTGTGTCACAGCATCCCCATAGATTCTCATTTGTTAACACCACAAAAAAGAGGCAATACTCCAAGACATTCAGTAATGGTGACTGTGAGCATCAAATGAGTGGATGGTAGAGAATAATTAATTGGAAAGGATATGAAAGAAAGTTCATGGCCTACTTTTCAAGGTACTGTTCTGGAATATAGAGGAAATCATGAAATCCACAAGAAACCTCACTCAACATAGTCATTATCCTGGACAACTTTTAAAATGTAAGCTTCCTGAATAAAGTAAGATTTGAGGTTTTCACAGCGGTGACTATGAAGAAAGCAGTCTTCTGGGATTTGGCACCATGTATATGTGGTGATAACTGACGTTTCGGAGGAACATATCGCCTCCATCACCCTGAAGATGAAGACGATACATTCCTCCGAAATGTCGGTTAACACCACATATACACAGTGCCAAATCCCAGAAGACTGCTTTCTTCCTGAATAAAAGTTAGAAGTGTTACTATTTCAGCCAAACTGCTTATTGCCGTCCTCATAGAATAAAGAAGGCAGAATGAAACAATTGCTAAACCTCAGATTCTAAATACAGGCTTAATTATACAACGGCTTTGCTTTCTTTACCTTTTCTCCTTCATCTTGCCGCAGTCAACAACAAACACACAATCGTCAATTGTCAGTGAAGTCTCAGCTACATTCGTTGACAAAATAATCTTGCGGACACCTGGCTCTGATTTCCTATCAGGAAAAGAAACAAAAGTATCTCAAATGCTGTAATTTCTGATTGCTGTGATACACATAAGACAACAATAAGCCATTAGGTTTCAAATTTATTTACTCATAACACAACCTACACAATTCAAACATTATCTGTGATTACTGCATCGACTCTTCATTGATGTAAAATTATAGTAATACTTCAGTTTCACCAGCCGAAGTATTCAGGTTCTAGGTTCTCTGTGCAAGTTCTGCCTAATAAGTCAGTATGACTGCAGAAAAGTCTGACATATTTAAATTTAAGCAAAACACAACTCTTCAGAATTTACTTACTTGAAAACTTCAGCCTGTTCTTCAGTAGTAAGTGATGAATGCAGTGGGATCAACACAAATTTCCCAGTGCGGGGACTTAAGACAGGATGACCCATCAACTGGTCATGAAGAGTTGAAATCTCAGCCATGCCCGGAAGGAATACCTAGAAGAATTTATCATAGTTCTGAATATTTTGCAATTATCCAAACATTTAATCACTCTGTACCTCCTGCCTTTCAAGAATATTTTATAAGCCTCTTCTGGTATCAGCCAATGTAATTCTGACGCTTCTGAGTAGATGCTCCTTCAACCTCCAGCTTGAAGGACCAGGAGTCACAATGTGACTCCAATCCATGAATTGTTTCGCTTCAGTGACCTTCCCAGCAGTTTATGCTCCAGGAACATATTTCCCAGGGTTATGAAAGGGTCCCACAGCCCTTGTATTTAAGCATATCACAAATATATATGGGGGGGGGGGTGAAGGAAAACCTGTGTGTAACCTTAATTTCTGCACAAGGGGTAAGCTCTTAGGGTCACAGGAAACCTGAAACCTCCTCTTCACATTGACTATGTCAATTTTACTACATCAGAAACAAAAATGTTATGCTGGGATATTACAAACTTAGAATAATTATAATGAATATAACTGCCTGAAATATTTTCTTGCTGAATTGAAATTAACATAAAAATTCGCCATGAGGGCAATGATTTTTTAATGCTACACTGAGGAAAACTTCATCATCATTCTCTGATGTTTCCACCTGGGCAGCTCTTCTCAGTTGGGCACTATATTTTTTCTATACCAATACCATTACCCCAAGTTAAATATGGCTGCCAGACCTGCAGAAATAGGAAATCTGAACTTCCCTATTCCTTGACAATAAACTGTTACTCCTGAATTAAAATATGGCCACCATCCATGTAGTGCTCACTAAAGCCCTAGATGAGAAAGGCTAATGCTTCTCTTGAATGTGTGTCATATATTTCCTTCTGTATGTCTTTTGTCAATTGGTTCCTATAATGTCACTGTTTTCATTCTTGGTGCTGTCAAAGGAGCTATCACTACTTATGCACACACCTGTCCATACACTCTATCCTTAATTTCACCCATTCTGTAGTGTTTCCTTCTTCAGGTGACATTTAACATCCTGATTTCAGAGAGAGATTTAAGGGAGGAAATATAATGTGGAAAGACTGTGTTCAGTCTCAGAAGATGATTATCTTTAGTCATTTTCAATATCTGCATAGTCTTAGCCTTTTGAGCTTATGTTTATCAAACAATACTCCATGTTAACTGTCCTTCATGACAATTCACCCATTTATATATGTACATACACATACAAATATCAGCAGATGCAAATAAAATTTTTAGTTATGACATAATCTACAGAACAAATTTATTATTCTTGGTCATGGCCATTATCATAAAAACAATTATACATTTCACTTTACTGTCACATTCTTGCTTAGCATTTACGATGCTCTTAAAAATCTGAGAACAACCAATTGCAATCTGGGGTCAGTGACCGTCTATAACAGCTGTGGGTAATAAAACTAGGGCACAGACACACTTCTAAGAAAAACTGAATACAAAGTGACTCTCAGAGTAATCATCTTACCAGTACAGATCCTGTTGTAGGAAAACCGTGCTCACCAGTTACTATCCATGTGATTACTTCCTCTATAAGTTCATAGTCAAGCTTGCTGGGATCCATCAAGTACAAAGTCTCGCATGTGAGCTTGCTATAATCTGTTGAGAAGAAATAAATGATAGTACAGGTCAACAATGCACTAACTGCAATAGTAAATCTACTGAAGGAACTTCATGTGAATGTGATGAATGCATTACAGCAGCAGCTGGTAGCAGTAACACCAGGTGAAGCCAAGATACAGCTTAGCAAACATGACGACACTCTTGCAATTCTAGCGGTGTCCATCTCTGAAGTGGAGGTTTCAGTGAATCAAGTATACAAGATGGATACCATGTGAACATCAATTCTACACCAACTACCACTTTCCTCCTTTTGTTCATGCTTGGCTTACCCTTCAACACAGAAGAGAGAGGTGATGTGATCCTATGAGATGTCAGCTGACTTTCAACAGGCTACATGGTGTTATAGCTCAGAAGATATAACTCTCCATTTTTATCCACCATTTTACAGTAACATGATGAAACAAGATCAGTTTTATCACAGTGAGCTTTATACATTTTTGAGGTGATATGAATCCACAACACAGGACAGACAAGAGCTGTGGCAAACTTTCGAAAAGTAGATCTCTGAATGATGCCTATGCTACGCATTACAGCCCAAGCACTTTGCTCTGTATAAAGTGATTGTGCTCTTCACAGTTGCAGTTCTAAGCAACATATTCCTGGGCGGCCCAGGTTTGATCCTGGGGTAACTGTGACTTTCTTATGTCACATGTTACAGGTGGTAATGATGCCATCCTGAATGAGGTTGGCAGAACCACAGCTGTGTCTTTGGTGGGAACGCATCATGGACCATGGATGCATTGGGACACCCTTGTGTAGGTTGCCCTAGTCACAACCTCATGACTAACTGGTGTCTCACTCCCATTTATCATCTGGGATACCCCTCTCCCCCCGAACAGGCACTCTTGGTCCTGGAGGCTTGTGAGGGTTACATTCACTACAGGACCAGACCACCTAAGCCAAGGTGTGATGCATCATGTTGAGGGCTGCATGGCACTGGGGTGGTAATTAGCCAGTGTCTTGAATGATCCCCTCGGGGCACCAGGCAGCAACCTGTTGTATTCATGCCTTCCACCAGTATGGGGCACTGCGGGTGGCGACCTTTTAAATCCCAATGACTCGTGGGACCAAAATGAATAAAGGAACTAAATCAAAAACCGGTCATAAGGACCTTAAACTGAAGAGTGACGCCCCTCCAAGGGGATCCCTACGAGAAATGCTTCAGCAGGGGGCTGGAAGCTCTGGTGAACCTCTAAGGGACCCAGATACAACCAGCAAACCTGCTGTTGAACTTTCAGCCAAAGGCAGGGACGAATCAGTGGTTCAAAACCTATCTGACTTAAAACCAAAAACTCCTCTCTTGGCAGTCATTAGTACTGACATACCATTGCAGGGGGCTAGTACCTCTAGCACACCTGCAGCAAGAGGACTGGGACACCTAGTCCCTGAAGTAGGTGGACCCCGTCTAGCGAAGAAAGCCCTGTCTGGAAGCGCTAGAAAAAGTTAAGAAAGGCAAGAGCTGGGGCAAGCAAAGCAAGAACTGGGGGCAGTCAGCAACCAGGAAATGCAGGCTCATCCAAGCAGGGAGAAACCCCACCGGTACCTTTAAGAGGTCAAAGTTGGAGGGCAATACCCCTACAGAAACGGCCAGAACTCCGAAAAGGCCCAGGGACTCTAAGGGACCAGGGACTTACAAGGAGGCTCTGACCAATATAAAGGTAGCTATCTTCAAGGAAACTTATCCTGAGGATATGCTTACCGAAGATGACCAGAATTCCATTCTGGAAGCACTGGGGGAGGTGTTACGTAGGACTCCAAAGGGAGAACTACCACACCTAAAATCCTACAGACTAGTGGGAGGTGCACTTATTTATGTATGCGCCGACTAAGAGTCTGGTCAATGGTTTACCAAAGCCATAACAACCACAGGCTGGAATCAGGAGCCAGGCTGAAGCCTACTGATGCCAGGAACCTGCCCAAGCCTGTTAAAGTGGCTCTCCAGACTAGAGACAAAGTTGCCCAGAACCAGGAAGAGCTGCTGAAATGGACTGCAGACCTCAATCCAGGACTTCATATGGAGAACTGGAGGGTACTAGATAAGCAATAGGAGTTGAAAGATAAGAGGCTTATCTTATGCATAGAATGGGAATCTTATACTATTATACAGAGGATAGGTTACAAAATATTCACAGGACTCTCACAGAGGTCTGTTAAGGTGCTGAATGATCCTGAAGTTCAGCACCGGGCAGAACCTGTGTCAGATATAGTATATTCCAACTCGGCCTCTAAGGGGGAAGGGGATGGTGTACCCACTCTCTCAGTTGACTGGAACAGAGTATCTGATGAGAAGGACACAATCCCTCCCTTCGCCAACCTGACCTTACCAGATTGGGGACCTTTTTTGGAGGAAACAAGGTCCAATAATGGAAAAGGGGCTGTAGAAAAAGGGATGGAGGAGGACACCTTTCCCAGCATTATAGAATGAACACATAACACATACATACACACATGACATTTACACACAACATACGATTCATTCAAATTAATCTACGCCACAGCAAGGCTGCTATGGCAATTTTGTGTCGACAACCTGTTGAAGGAAAAGTAGACGTAGCACTTATTCAGGAACCTTGCATATACAGGTGTCCCAGG